GTTGTTTCTCTTTGTCTTCCTCTTCTCAGAATATAGATATTATCAGTTTTAACTGATATGGATAAATAATAATAATATATTATATATCTGATATATGGTTATGTGTAACCAAGAGAGAAACAACGTATAGTCTGTTTCTACCCATATACTGACTCTCTCCCAAAAACACAACGATCAAGCCATTTTGCACTGTGGTTTGTGTGGGTGATATTCAATATTGTAATATCACTTCACTGCTGGGTTGATTGACTAGATTCAGGAAGCACGTGATTTATCCACGAGGTTCTATCATCAAAAAGCTATGATCTAAACATTTTATTCCGCTGCAAGTTTTGTGATCTATGATTTACACTGGGCGATGTTTTTAACTTAGAAACGCGATTTTGCCTCACTCTCAAGTAAGAAACTTGTAAACAACTCGCTCTTGTAGAGGAATAAACTCGCTCCCAATCAAGATAGAACCTAACAAACATATAAATCTCAAATAAACAAAAGAAAAAAAACTTAAAGCTTATTTTAATACTTTCTATTTACATAATCATTTATACTTAACAAGGCAATTTGTAGTTGACATCAATCTCCAATAATAATTCATATTTTAACACATATATTACAACTAAGCAAAAAAATAAATAAATAAAAGAATATGTTAATATATTTAATATATAAACTATGTTACATGGATTCGAGTATAAGTATCAGGTATAGTGTGTCTCCAAGTATCAGACTTTCATAAACTTAAACCTTAGGATCTTGGGATATCTATTCAAAATTGGATATGAGTATGGGGACACGTTATATACACATATATATTGCATATTGTATAGTATTCTCAGATGAAATATTATAAATTATGTAGAAATATAATAGAATTCAAGAAAAATATGAAATGTCTATCTCTAATTCATTTGAGATGCTGAAAATATTGCTTCACTAACAAAGGTGTGTTTAGTTTTTCTTCATATATTGTAACAAATTAAAGAATCTAAGTGTCTAAATTGAGTACAGGTGTTAGGACATATATCACACACCCTTACTCTTGTCATATTCGGTGGACATGGGTACTTTGAGAGAAA